CCCCAAAACCCCAAAACCCCAAAACCCCAAAACCCCAAAACCCCAAATTTTAACAAGATTATTGATTAAAAATGCTGAATTTACGGAAAAGAGTGGACATCACGAGGAGGCTAGCTCATACTTTCAGATGCTTCAGTACGTCTGAGTCTGATTTTACTGTGAAGGAATTGGGCGATGGAGTCACTGAGTTCTTGCTTGACCGCCCAGCTAAGCGGAACGCACTCTCTAAACTTCTAATTGCTCAATTCGAGGATGCGATTAAGGAAGTTAACTCTACGAAGGATACTAGAGTTATTATTCTCAGAAGTTCAGCCCCAGGAATGTTCTGTGCCGGTGCTGACTTAAAGGAGAGGAAAAGCATGACTCCTTTAGAGGGAGAAAACTTCGTCAAAACTCTTAGAAGACTTTTCCATGAATTCTCAAGAATCCAATGCCCAACTATTTCCTTAGTTGATGGAGCTACTCTTGGAGGAGGAATGGAACTTGCACTTTCAAGTGATATTAGAGTTTCAACTGAAAAAGCCATTCTCGGATTTCCAGAGACAAGTCTTGCCATTATTCCTGGAGCTGGCGGTACCCAGACACTTCCTAGAATAGTCGGAGAGGCTGTAGCTAAGGAGCTAATTTTCACTGCAGAAAGGATTTCTCCAGAGAGAGCACTCCAACTAGGGCTAGTTAATCATGTTGAGAAAGATTTTGATTCAGCTTACAAGAAAGTTCTCGAAATTGCTAACAAAATCTGCTCAAACGGCCCCATCGGCGTGCAAATGGCAAAGCAGGCTATTTCTCAAGGAATTGAAGTAAGCAAGGAGTCAGGATTGAAGATTGAAGAGATGTGATATGCTCAAGTCCTTCCCACAGCTGATAGACTTGAGGGACTCAAAGCATTTGCAGAAAAGAGGAAGCCAGTTTATAGAGGAGAATAAATATCCGGATATCAATATTCAATACTAATCCATGATTTTGGGGTTTTGGGGTTTTGGGGTTTTGGGGTTTTGGGG